TAAAAAAAAATCATCATCATCATCATCATCATCATCATCATCATCATCATCATCAGCATCAGCATCATCATCATCATCATCATCATCATCATCATCATCATCATCATCATCATCATCATCATCATCATCATCATCATCATCATCATCAGCATCATCATCATAGTCATCATCCGCCTTCTCCTCCTCCTCCTCTTCCTCCTCCTCCTCCTCCTCCTCCTTCCTCCGTCCTTCTCATCTCCTCCTCCTCCTCCGCTCCTCCTCCCCCTCCTTCTCCTCCTCCTCCCCCTCCTTCTCCTTCCGCCTCCTCCCTCCTCCACTTCCTCCTCCTCCGCCTCCGCCTCCGCCTCCGCCTCCGCCTCCGCCTCCGCCTCCTCCTCCTCCTCCTCCTCCTCCTCCTCCTCCTCCTCCTCCTCCTCCTCCTCCTCCTCCTCCTAGCAAGCGCGCTCGGCGGGCCCGCATCGCCCACGGCCCCGCGGCCCTCGCGGTCTCCGGCCGCGGGTGCCTGGCCGCTCCCCGGCCCTTCGGCTCGCACCCGCGCCCTCTGGGCCCCTGGAGCTAGGCGGCTTTAACAGTCCTCGGCCTCCGGGGCCGTCGCCGGGCCTCGGGCCGGGCCGAGGCGGTTTCGGATCGACTGAGATCAACCAGACCCCCTCGCGCATTGAAAAAATCAGGACGGGAAGTTTTTCGCCATTTTCGGCCTCTGGGTGCCCTTCCCGGGCCTCGGGGCCGTCAAAAAAACGACTCAGGACGAAAAACCGGTCCCGGGGAAGTGGTCCAGACCTGCGGGGCCCACGCATCGAGAAAATGAGAGCAGCCGGATGTCTGGGTTGACAATCGTGACGTCAGGGGTCAGGAAGGGAGGGGTCCCACTGGACGGGGGGGGCTCCCGGGTGGAGTTCACCTTGGTTGAGGCCCCTCGTCCTCATGGCCCCCTCCCTCAGGGACCTATCTTTGAGCCGCCGAGTCGAGAACAAGTGGAGAGGCGGATAGTCGACGGCGAGCGAGGGGGGGAACTGAGAAGGAGAAGGCCTTCTCAGAAGGCGGCGGGACTTCTCAGAAGCCCTCGCGCCCTCTGAGAAGTTGCTCCTGTCTCTGGAGAACGCTTAGGGAACTTCTCAGAAGGCTGGGGGACTTCCGAACCTTCTGTGAAGGCCTTCTTCCTCTTCTTCTTCTTCTTCTTCTCACTTCCCCCCCTCCCTGACTCCGGAACCGCCCTACTTTTGGGAAATTCGTAAGTAGGGTGTGGAATTTCCGCCTTACTTTTCAAGCCCCGCTGATGCCAATTTCCGCCCTACTTTTCTGTTGCTGTTTCCGCCCTACTTCTGTGGATTTCCGCCCCACTGTATGTTGGGTGCAGAAATTTCCGCCCCACTTTTTCGGCTTCTTATAAGTGGATTTCCGACGCAATTTTAAGTTGGGAAAACAGCCAAAGTAGGGCGGATCTGGAGTCTGCCCCGCAGGTCCGGACCACTTCCCCGGGACCGGCTTTTCGTCCTGAGTCGTTTTTGGGCCCTCCCGAGGCCCGGCGAGGGCCCCCGGAGGCCGAGAACGGCCAAAATCCCCCGCAGCCCAAAGCGGTGCCCTCCGTCGCCGCACGCGGTGCGAGGGCAGCGGCTTAGGGCGCTCGAGTCAGGGCTCGCTCGCCGCCGATCTCGGATCAGCGCTGCATGCCCCTCCCTGGTGCGCGGAGCGCGCCGGGGTCGGCGCCGGGGGCGCCGCCAAGGGGGGGGCCGCGCAGATGCGAGAAAGCCGCGCTCCTCCTCCTCCGCCGCCTCCTCCTCCCTCCTCCTCTCCTCCTCCTCCTCTCCTCCTCCTCCTCCTCCCTCCTCCTCCTCCTCCTCCTCCTTCCTCCTCCTCCTCCCCTCCTCCTCCTCCTCCTCCTCCTCCTCCTCCTCCTCCTCCTCCTCCTCCTCCTCTCCTCCTCCTTCCTCCCCTCCTCCTCCCTTTCCTTCCCCCGATAGCGGTACATCCGTTGGCCCGCGCGGGGCCCAGGAGAACGAAGCGAGCGAAGCGAAGCGAACGCCGGAGAGAAGAGGCGCAGGGGAGGCGTGGGTAAGAGAGCAGGGGGTCGTGGCAGCGCGGGGACCGAGCCTGAGCCCAAGGCCACGTCCAGCCGGCTCGTGCACGCAAGAGACAACGACAAAGAACCGCGTCCGATGCACACGTCCTCAAACAAAGCGATTTCGGATCGACTGAGATCAACCAGACCCCCTCGCGCATTGAAAAAATCAGGACGGGAAGTTTTTCGCCATTTTCGGCCTCCGGGGGCCCTTCCCGGGCCTCGGGGCCGTCAACAAAAACGACTCGGGATGAAAAACCGGTCCCGGGGAAAGGGTCCAGACCTCTGGGGGTCGACGCTGTGAGAAAATCACAACGGTCGGAGGTCTGGGAAGCATATTCGGGGGGCGGAGCGTCGGTGGCACGGGAACTGTCTTCAGCACCGACAGGAGCGCAAGGTTGCAAACATGCACGCACACGGCATGCTGCGCGTGCCTTGTCATCCTCCGTGTGCAGGCCCGTCCAGCGCCGGTCCGCGGCCCCCCTCCTCGCCGTCGCTCGGACGTCAATGCCCTGTGTTTTGTTCGGTCTCGTGCGCGGTTTTTCGCCAAATGATCAGGGATGCTCCTCGATGGCCCTCGCCGAAGGGAAAAATGCACACGTCCGAGCGATGCCAAGCCTCAGGTGCCCACTGATACCCTCGAGCCCAGCTCCCACCCAGAACGATTCCCGTACCCCCTATCGTCGTGATTTCTTCTCGGGGGCGGCCAAGAGGGGGGCGTCCAAGAGGGGGGGGGGGGGCGCAGATCATGGCCGGCGGCACGTGCGCGGCCCAGGGGGGGGCCAGGGACGTAATGAGATAGGAAGGGGCGCGAAGAAAGCTGAGGAAATACCATGGCCCACGCCAGGGTATCCACCCACCCCTGGTCATCAACCCCCCCTCTTGGACGCCCCCGATCTTCGGCACGTCGGCACCCAGAGGCCTCGACCCGTTCCCCGAGAGGCCTGGGAGGGGCCGGGCAGGGCCCCCCGGGGCCACAGGACCAGTGTTCCTTCCTTCCTGGCCACCGCTGGAGCTCGCCCTGTTTGTTTCTGATTCTTTCGTCCGACATGGCTTGCATTCGGCTCGTCTTCGGCAGAGGCCTGCGGGGGGCAGCCAGCGCAGCGCAGGCCGGTGCAAGCCCGGCCCTGTGCCCCGGGGGCGGCGAAAAGGCCGTCCCCACGACCTCTAGAACCACCCCCTCGCACCCAACTGCCCCTAGAACCTTCTGGCAGACCGCTCTAGAATCCACAGAACCCTCTGGAGGTCACCACTTTGCCCCTCCTCCTCCCCTTCCTCCCCTTCCTCCCCCTCATTGTCCTCCTCCAGCTCCTCCTCCTCCTCCTCCTCCTCCTCCTCCTCCTCCTCCTCCTCCTCCTCCTCCTCCTCCTCCTCTCCTCCTCCTCCTCCTCCTGCTCCCCTCGTCCTCGTCCTCGTCCTGGTCCTCCTCCTCCTCCATTCCACCTCCTCTCTCTCCTCCTCCTCCTCCTCCTCCTCCTCCTCTCCTCCTCCTCCTCCTCTTCCTCCTCCCGTCTCCTCCCTCTCTCTTCCTCCTCCTCCTCCTCTCCTCCTCCTCCTCCGCCTCCTCCTCCTCTTCCTCCTCCTCCCCTCCTCGTCCTCCTCCTCCTCCGCCTCCTCCTCCTCTTCCTCCTCCTCCTCCTCCTCCTCCGCCGCCTCCTCCTCCATGGGCCCCGCACGGGCTACGCCCGAATCTCGGGCTATGCCGTTCGTGCAACACGTGCGAAAGTGGTGCCGAGCTTACAGATGTGAAGGGGCTACCCCGCCAGACTCCGCAGTCCGAACCGACATCGGACTCTTTCGGATAGCCGCCGCCGCCGCCTCCTTGTTCCTCGATGCTGCTCCTACGCCGCCCCTCCTCGCTCACCCCCTCCACTCGTCTGGGCAGGGCTTGGACTGTGGTGCCGCGCCGAGCCCCGCGCAGGGGCTCGCAAATCTCGCGGAGGTAGCTGATGCGGCCTCGGCCCGGCCCTTCTCTGGGCGACCGGCCCGCCGCTGGTGCCGCCTCCCGGGAGGAGGAGGAGGAGGAGGAGGAGGAGGAGGAGGAGGAGGAGGAGGAGGAGGAGGAGGAGGGGAAGCAGGAGGAGGAGGAGGAGGAGGAGGAGGAGGAAGAGGAGGAGAGACGCCAGTAGAAGGTGAGTCCAAGTCGCCCGAACCCACTCTACATCGAATAAAATTTCAAAACTCGAGGGCCCCAGATCGGTATCAGCCAGGACCCAGGACCCTCAGCCGCTATCTAGGCGGCAGCCCACTCCTCAACCTCTCGAGGCGGGTCTTCTGAGCGCTGAGAGTCTTGGGGACCTCCGAAGGTCCCTGACAAGGGGCTTTGAGACCAAGCACCCTCCCCGACTCCCCAGCGAAGCACGCACACCTCTCACAGAAGACGTACACACCCGCCTCGGCCATCCGATGGCCGAGGTCGCGGAAAAGGGCCAAGTCGGCAAAACGCCGCACCCCAGAGCCCGCCCCAGAGCTCGGCGCCCAGGTGGGGCCCGTCTCAAGGACCCTTGCCGCCGCCTCCAAGGCGACGTGGACCGCATCGGAGGTCGGCCTCCAATCGGAGCAGCGCGAGAAAGCACGGGCGGCCTGCCAGCGCTGCACCTCGGTCGGCGTGCAGCGCGCCGAGCAGGACCTGAGGGCGCGGAGACCAGCCGCAGTCCTGGTAGAGACACCACAACGCCTGCATCTCCATTCCTGGGCGGCATCGCTCCTATACATGCTGTGGCACGAGAGGG